TTTTTTTTTTTTTTTGAGACAGGGTCTCACTATGTAGCCCTGACTTGCCTGTAACTCACTGTGTAGACCTGCCTCCAAAGTGCTGAAATGAAAAGTGTTAAAATATATATATTGAGTCAGGCATGGTGGCACACGCCTTTAATCCCAGGGAGGCAGAGGCAGGTGGATCTCTGTGAGTTCAAGGACAGCTGGGCCTACAGGGAGACCCTGTCTCAAAAAGACCAAAAGAAAAAAAAAATAGATGATAGGTAGGTAGGTAGGTAGGTAGGTAGGTAGGTATTGAAATTTCTTTCACAAAACATTTTCCTGAACAAAGGAAACCCTAGATGTAGAAAGCTGGTGGTTGCCCCAGTATGCCAGTGTGAGAACATTTCCTGCTTTGAGTCCTTAGAAGCACACAAGGATGTGCTGGACAAGGTCTTTAGCAGCATTCCTCAGGATGAGCCCAAATCAGGCTGTCTGTGTCAGCTGTGAGACTATGTAGGCCTCAAGCCCAGTTCATTAAAACCAATGTTACAGAACATTAGAAATGTACACTCTCAGCAGACTGTAGTTTATGAATGTCCAGTCTGACCCAGAGTACAATTCAGGTATTGAGAAATACAAAAGAATTGTTCTCAGGTAATCCCTTGTGAATTTGTTCCTTATGATTTTGATTTAGACAGAGTTTAGTAAATTTCTAATGGCGTATGTGATGTGTAGAGGGTCTTTGTTCTGTGTGACAGTTAAGGTTAGGGTTGAGAGATTCTTTTGAACCTTAAAGCCCCTCCTAACAGCCCCTCCCTACTGGATCACCCAATCTCCTCCACTAATAGAAATGCTTAATATGGCAGTGTTCTAGAAAAGGTGATCATTCCACTTTAGTGACTCTTCTCTATTACAAATTCCTATGATATATTCACCAGTAGTCTACAAGCAAGGTTCCCCTCTCTGCTCCCAAATAGAGCACAGAATTATGTAACTCTTCTGGAGGTAAGATACTGTTTTTTTTCAAAGCATTAAGTAATAATGATGTGCTGGGCGTGGTGGCGCACACCTTTAATCCTAGCACCCGGGAGACAGAAGGGTCTTGACCCTGTGTTAGGTGGAACTTAATGTTTACTCACAGTAAACATTTTTTGATCACAGTGGTTCCTGCAGCCTGAGTTTCTGCAGGTTTTGATACCCTCCAGTATTGGTATTGGATGCTAAGATAAACTCAATGACATGTTTCTCTCTCTCTCTCTCTCTCTCTCTCTCTCTCTCTCTCTCTCTGTGTGTGTGTGTGTTTTAAAGTAGTTATTTCACAATGTAATATATGCTTCACAGGAAGGAGCATATAGAATGTATATGTAAGTGGTGCATCAAGGTATTAAGTGAGCATTCTTGAACTACCGTGTACTTGTCATACATTTTAAGTCATTAAAAACTGTCTTGTTTCCAGTACTCGAGAGGCAGAGACAGGCAGATCTCTGTGAAATCAAGGCCAGCCAGATTTCCATAGCAAGTTCCAGGCCAGGTGGGACCACAGGGAAACTCTGTCTCAAAAATAAACTGCCAACAACAAAAGACTCCTGTATAAATAGGGGCTGGAGAGATGGCTCAGTGGTTAAAAGCAATTGCTTCCATAGGATCCCAGTTCAGTTCCCCAGCACCCACATGACAATTCACAACTCCAAATCCAAGATTTCTGTCCTAGTTTGTTCTTCATTGCTGTGACAAAATACTCTCACCACTACCAACTTGGGGAGGAAAGGGTTTATTTAGCTTACATATCCTAGGTCACAGTTCATCCAGGAGCCCAAGGTAGGAACTCAGGGCAGGAACCTGGAGGCAGGAGCTGGAACGCAGGCCATGGAGGAATTCTGCTTACTAGCTTGCTCCCCTGGCCCCTGCTCAGCCTGTTTTCTTATGCAACACACACAGGCCCACCTGCCCAGGGTGGCACCACCCACAGTGGGCTGGGCCCTCCCACATTACTCATCAAGAAGATGTCCCTCAGACATGGCCACAGGCCAGTCCAATAGAGGAAGTTCCCTAATTGAGGCTCCCTCAACCCAGGTGTGTCAAGTTGACACTAAAGCTATCCAGCACAATATCTGACCCCCTCTTCTAGACTCCAAGGGCACCAGGCAAACACATGGTGCACATACATACATGCAGGCACTCACACATACACATAAAAATAAATCTTTGATGGAGGGGATGTGGGGAAAGGGGAACGCTCATCCACTGCTGGTTGGGCTGCAAACTGGTTCAGCCCCTATGGAAAGCAGTGCGGAGAACTCTTAAAAAACTACAAATGAACCTACCATTTGACCCAGTTATACCACTCCTTGGCATATACCCAAGAACTCATCCTATTGCACAGACACTTGTACATGCACGTTTGTTGCTGCTCTCTTCACAATAGCTAAGAGATGGAAGCAACCTAGGTATCCTCAATTGATGAGTGGATAATGAAAATGTGGTTCATATATACGATGGAGTTTTACTCAGCAGTAAAGAAAGATGAAATC